CGGATTCTAAAGAGAGGGCGAGCACAGTCTGATGGAACACGAGGCAATAAGCAAAAAACAGAGACACCGTTTCCTTCAGGATTGGCGCAAAGAGTTTCAACAGTGCAGCCGACACCCTAGCTGCCGAAGTCAGCGCCCCAGACGAAGGCCCTTCACTCAACGTTTCCACATCCTCCTCAAGCCAGGCAGAAGACAGCTTTAGAAGGGAAAAGAAACGTAAGACTGAAGCCAAAATGTCCACGGGCGCACAAATCCTCCGCAACCAACAAAGCCGAAAGAAGAGGAACCTGCACGTGAAGCTGGAAAAGGCCAACATCCCAAGAAAGCATGGGGGCTAACAAGCATGCATTAAGGTGCTCAAACTCGCGCCCCCCCCCCCCCCCCCCCGATAAACCTGCAGAAATGTAGAAGTTTCACGCCAATCAAGCGTGTGGGTTTCAGAACAGAACCCATGCCACGCCCCCAACGAAAAAAAAGGGCAGTCTGCCAGTCAGGAAGACTCCGGAACCTCCAAACACACCCAAAAGTAGGTAGAAGAACCGAACTCAAACAAGGACGGATCCATCACAGAGGCATAAACAGTGTCTCGCAAGAGGTATGCAGCAAGAGCCTCCCGAGCATCCTTCATGGAGATACGGGAAGTAGAAAACCTCTGGGAAGACGGAGCCGAGGTACACAAAGGAGCCCCGGAACTGAACCCAAATCATACTCATACAGGGAAGTGGGGTAAGAAAACCCCTCCCCCTGCAACAATAAGCCCTGTGAGGAAGGCAAAAGCACCCAAGCGGGGTCAAACTCCTCCCCAGTCCCACATGGTAAGGGGCACCCACAAACTCCGACTCCTTCCCAGCCTCAAGATTCCCCACGTAGGAACCTGGGGCAGAGCCGTCTTTCAAACCCTCTACTCCTGAAGATAAGGAAGACTCCAGGGGAGAGGAAGACAAGAAGGGGGTCTGCTGGTGGGACCCAGAAGCCTCGGCAGGAGGAACCGGCTCAAATGCCTCCGTCTCTGCTGCCCCTGAAGCCGCCCGAGCCTCATTGCCAACTAAACCCTGTGAAGAATACGAAACACTAAGACGTTTAGGAGCCTGACAAGGGGGGGGAGGTGCTGGATGAATCACAGGAGCGCGGAAGGACCAGGCACTGCGGAAGGAGCCAAAGTCGAAACAACTAACGCCTACAGGTCCGAGTCCCAAAAACCAAAACGGGGCAGCCTCGGGGCAAACGGGTGTGAAACCAACCTAGCGCATTGCAGTAACCTAAACCTAACATGCAACGCTGATGCTGCCTGTACCCTAACAGAAACATCCTCAGAGTAAAACTGGAGCACAAGCAGAGAACATGACTTACAACACTCCGGGTTAAAAGTGTCGTTGACCCAACAGGCAGCATGACGGAGGCAAAACAGGTGACTGTCACCCTGAGACAAGGGAACACAGCATCCTTCAAACCCACACAAGGCAGGCTGGAACTCGGGAGACGTATCCATGGGTACACCGAGCCCCGACAGGGGTTTCCAGGGCCCGCAGGGTAACAACTACGGAAAGCCCGGGCAAGGTGTTGCTAACCGGTTAAAAAAAAAAACTAACAAGGGGTAGATGATAACACTGAAAACTCCTGAGACGTGTACAAGCACGGGGGCCTTAGCAGAAAGCCACCAAAACAGTATCAGGGGAACTATAGTCCCACTAGGCAAAACCCTTACCAGGCAAACAAAAACAAAACAAAAAAGAAAAAATCCCAAAAGTACACTGTCCCCAGAGGCAACAGGAACCAGTCGCCGCTTAGGTGGCAGGACGCGCAATACCTTGACGCCCTAACCAGCACAACATCATTCTCTACCCAAGGCCAAACAATGGAGCCCAAGACCCAGCTAACCCCAAGGGCAAGGCAAATGCCAAGCAGCAAGAACCTCTACAGGAGCGGTTCCCGAACGCCCCAGGGGAGATAACCCTGACACGCATGGGTAGTACTCACAGGGCGCTTACGGAAGGAAGCCCCTAAGCGCATGCAGGCCCTGGCGCTGATGATATACTCCTGGCGACCCACACAACACACTAAGACAGCAGAGAACGCCACACAAGGCAAAACACCACCCAGGAATTTGAGGTAGAGAAGCGTCTGTCCTGGTTGACACTAGCTTACAAACTGAAGGCAGCCTGCGCGGTGAGGTCCGGCCCCCCCCTTCCCCCTCTCGGGGAGGGGAGGGCTGCACGGACGACCGGCGCGGCAGTAAATTGTCTTAATTGCTTATTTGCTTGTTTCCTTGGGATTGTAGGGAGTTTCTACCTCTGTTCGTTTTTTTGTTTAAGTTTCTTACCATGTGGGGTTTGTTTTGTTATGTCTACCTACCTGGGTGCCTAACCCCAGTCGATGGCAGATAAAGAAAACCCCCAACCACAAGGGGGGTTTTCCAGGGCCATTGCCCTGGCCCTGGAGGCTTCCAGGGCTCCCTGAAACCTCTCTGAAGGAGCCAGGTTCTGGCACTGGTCCCTGGTAGGTCTGAACTCCATAGCTAATGTCCCGGTCTAATATAACATATATTAGCCAGATAAACTCCATGGAGCCATAGGGGCTCCCCACAGAAATGTAGTTGACCCAAGAGGCAGCATGATGGAGGCAAAAGTGGTACCCTAAGACAAGGGCACACAGCAACCTTCAAACCAGCACGAGGCGGGCTGGAACTCGGAAGCTAGTTAGATGCCTTTTAGTTAAAGTTACATGCATCCATTGGTCCACCGAGCCCCGACGTGGTTTTCCAGGGCCCGTACGCCGATTGCTATGGAAAGTCTAGGCAAGGTGCTGCAAACCGGTTATGTCCCAAAGTTAACAAGAGGGAGATCAAAACACTGAAACCCCTGCGACGTGTACAATCACGAGGGCCTATCAGAGGGCCACCAAAATATAATAAGTGGAGCTATAGCCACACCAGGCAGAACCCCACCAGGCAAAAAAAATAAATACAAAAGAAAACCCCACAAAACTACAACGTCCCTAGAGGAGACAGGAACTGGCCACCGCATAGGTAGGCAGGCTGCACGACACCTTGATGTCTCATCCAGCACCATACCACTTCCTACCCAAGGCCAAACAAAAGCCACAAAACCCCAGCTGGCCCCAAGGGCGGGCTAAATGCCGAGCAGCAAAACTCCCTATGGAAATGGTTTCCCGAACGCACCAAGGAAGTGAACCCTGGTGCGCAAGGGTGGTACTCACAGGGCCCCTAGGGAAGGATGCCCCTAAGCACATGAAGCTCCTGTACAGATAAGGGCACCTGGCCACCAAACACATCAGCACTGTAGAGTTTGCCACGAAGGCAAAACACCGCTTCGGAATTCAAGGCCAGAGAAGACGTCCGCCCTGGACCACATTATCTAGCAAACTTCAGTGCTAGGTAGCCGGCACGGGAAGGTCTTGGGCTTCCCTACACGGACAAGCGGTGCAGCAGTGTAATGTGACATTTGCTTGTTTCCTTGGGATTGGAGGGAGTTCTGTCTCTCTTTCCGGTTTTTAGTTGTATTTTTCTTACCATGCGGGCTTGGTTTTGTTATGCCTACCTTTTTGGGTGCCTAACCCCGGTCAATGGCAGATAAGGAAAACCCCAACGACAGGGAGGGGGGTGTTTTCCAGGGCCATTGCTCCCAGAAACCTCTCTGAGAGAGCTAGGTCTGGCTCGTGGTCCCCGGTAGGCTCCATAAACTAATGCCCAGGTCTAATATATCACACATTAGCCCGATAGCTCCAGGGAGCCGAAGGGGCTCCCCACAGAAAATAATACAATTTTTTTTTCAGACAGAGTGATAGACGGTTGGAACAAGCTAAGTGAAAAGATAGTGGAGGCCAAAACCGTCAGAAGTTTCAAAGCATTACATGACAAAGAGCACTGGGAAGACGGGACACCACGAGCGTAGCTCTTATCCTGTAACTACACTTAAGTAATTTCACCCAGGGAAGAAAACCCTGATTGCATGCAGCTCCAAGCACAACATTAGCCAAGTCTACGCATAAAGCCTGGAAGAAAACACCCATGTAAAGCAAACACTAAAACTGAAGAGCAAAAGCATAAGAAAATTGCTCCTGGAGAACAAAGTCCAAAGGATAGCTGGCACTTAATTCAGAATCATTGGGATTTGCCGCTACAGATGACGACCCAAATAGCATGACTAGACAGTGTTTATACATCCACATCCGGTTTTGGCTGTCAATACTAATGGTAATGGCTTTATGCTAGTTTGGGTAAATTGCTTATTTTGCCTGAATAGTTTGAAGTGTCATTTGACTATTTCAGCGTATTGTTTCACATGAACCTTGCAGGTGTCTGTAATGCTTTGCAGACTTTCTGGATGCATTTCTAGTGAAGGGTGATGATAATATGTCCCCCTGCTCTTTGAGCCTCTGTGCGAAGGCCAGGTTCTGGCTCTGATCCCCAGTAACCTAATAGGACTCCTGCTACTGGTGTGACCCAGTAGTGGGAACCATCTTGGCGTGATACCTTCAGACAGCCACCGGTGCTCCTCCAGGAAAAAAACAAGTTTACCAGAGTATTTTACTTACAGGAATTAAATCCATTATCATTTGACTCACTGGGAAAACATTTCTAGTAATATTTTCCATTTAACAATTGTCTTGAAACTGAACAATTAAAGGCATACTTTTAAAAGTTCTAAAGGAGTAAACATTCCCCTTTCCTATTACCCACAGATTTGTTATGCATCTTGCCAAATTAATTTATCACAAAGTCTTATTCTCTGTTAACAATTGCCAAAAAGGCCATTACAGCTTCACATTACATAGGGCTCTCACCATGTCTAAATCCAAGATTTAAATTACAACTAGAAAACATATTATTAGCACATTGCAAGCTTCCTCATTAAAATTACAGGTAATGCCTTTTGCTGAATTTAAAACTCACTAATTTAAGGCATTCACTCGCAAAACAATTATAATATGCAAATAATTAAGAAGTGCATAGAAACAAATCTCGGCATGACACAACTCACCCTCAGAGCATCGTGCAGCATGACGAACAAGCTGGGTCGAAGATAGAGCTTCTCAGGTTTACTCTGTGGTCCCATCTTGTCCTTTATCATTTTTTCCCGAAGGATCATCTTATGTGTCACCTTTTGAGCCACTTTGTATACATCCTTGGGATCATTCAGAACTGACAAAGACTAAATTGGAAAATATGTTTAATTTGTTGTTCACAAGAGCATAACAAAACAATGAATGGACAAAAGATACAGTGCACATTCTTAAAAGTAAAATATCATTCTAGCTCCAAGAATTTGTGTAATTTTAATAAAAAAATATTCATTTGGCCAACTCATTCCTACACACATAACAGTACAGTTCAACAAATAATTTATATAAAAATATTAAGAAACTTGATTCAGAAACTTGCATCTGTACTCAGAGCCCACTTTGATAACATTAATTAATTGATGGACAGATTTATATACAGTATACAGTATTTTTGTTTTGTTTTGAATTACAGTATTTTAAAAGAATTATTGGATGACGGGTGTTGCGCAAAATGTAATGAGTATCTTAACAATCTCGCCACCAGTTTGTGGTATCAAAAGATTCTGAATGCAAACCTTAATGAGGAGAGTTAATGGTGGTACAGAATATATATTCATGAAGGCAAGACTATATTACTGGAAGGATATTTAGTGCTAAGTTAGCAATAAAAACTAATTCTAAGCTCTATCACTCAGTTGCTCCCTCAGGCAAAGTCTTTCCACCCTAAACTCGAGACTGGGATATTGCTGCCTTTGCATTGTATAGAGAATGAGTTCTTATGAACAAAAGGAGACTGTTCCCTTCTGCATTTATTATCTTGACCACCTGACCTCTCCTTACCTTTAGCTATGTGTGTGTCTGTGTGCTGTAGCAAGTTCCATATTGCCTACTTGATCACTTGGTGTTTTTCAATATAGGGTTTCCAATATGTTTTAGTATTGGTATGGAGTACACTATCTATGCAGCAGTAACTAAAAAAAATGTACATACAAAGAAAGTAACATTTAAAAGGTATGCTTAAACCCCTGCACTGCACACACGTTAAATTTAACACTCCTGTGGTGCACCAAAAAAAAATTTGTCCTGAACAAATGATGTTTTCATTTGATATTGTTAATTAGCACCCAGCAAGCACAAAAAACTAATTACGAAGTCTCTATCTCTTGTGGTTTAACTGTAGTGGTCCAGAGAAGCTGCATTTTTTTTTTTTTTTAGAAATGAGGTGAGGTGCTGCACGGCAATAACTTTCTCGATTTATTTTCCTTGTTTCCCACATTATTTACTATTTTTTTCATTCTAACAAGTTGTATTGATGCATCAATGTTGGTGTTCATTATGTGTAACTTTGAAAATACAATACCTAACCTAACCTAACCTATAAAGTTAGGTTAGGTAGGGTTGGTTAGGTTCGGTCATATATTTACGTTAATTTTAACTCCAATAAAAAAATATTGACTTCATACATAATGAAATGGGTAGCTTTATCATTTCATAAGAAAAAAATTAGAGAAAATATATTAATTCAGGAAAACTTGGCTTATTAGGCAAATCGGGCCTTGCATAGTAGGCCGAGAAGTGCATTCTGGCTACTAGGTACGACATATATATATATATGTATATATATTGTGACGGTAACGCGTTGGTGTTCGGCTGTTCAAAAGCTAGGGGTATGGCCTCGTCACATATAGAAAAAAAAATAGAAAATCTGGAACTTCGTCTGTGGTAAGGTAAGGAGAAGACACACAAAACACAAGTAAATTTTAACAATGAAATTTTAATTACGTTAAAGAAAGCAAAACATGAATAAAATGGACATACAAATTCGTATAATAAAATCCATCAAAGTAATAAGAATAATCAAATGGCAAAATGAAAAGTTACGTTAAGACAAGTGAGCAAATAACCAGTGTATGATAAACAAAGTAAATAGGTGCCGGAATATTGGCTTCAAGCTATCACCTCTCTTAGTACACGTAAGCCTGGGGCTTAGTCTACCAACGAGACGTGTTAACTTGTCGAAAGCACGAGATATTCTGAAGACTGAGGTCGTGGCGGCCCCAGACATCAAGTAGTATGGTGGGTAGAGTGCAGTTGCAGCTGGACTCACAGCCAATCAGCGAGGAGCAGGCGACAAGACAGGTAGTTTGGCGGTTTGAGGTGGAGCAGGTGTTCCTGGCTGCATACGTTTTGCTCTCTGGCAAACCTTGGAGATGTTGTTGTCGTTGTTGAATATTTCTTCCATATTAGTTTTGTATAGATTTGTAGCGACGTATTTGGAGGAAAGAGCAGGCTCAATCTCTTGAAGGAGATTATCGTCACAATATATATATATATATATATATATATATATGTCGTACCTAGTAGCCAGAACGCACTTCTCAGCCTACTATGCAAGGCCCGATTTGCCTAATAAGCCAAGTTTTCATGAATTAATTGTTTTTCGACTACCTAACCTACCTAACCTAACCTAACCTAACTTTTTCCGCTACCTAACCTAACCTAACCTATAAAGATAGCTTAGGTCAGGTTAGGTAGGGTTGGTTAGGTTTGGTCATATATCTACGATAATTTTAACTCCAATAAAAAAAATTGACCTCATACATAATGAAATGGGTAGCTTTATCATTTCATAAGAAAAAAATTTGAGAAAATATATTAATTCATGAAAACTTGGCTTATTAGGCAAATCGGGCCTTGCATATTAGGCCGTGAAGTGCGTTCTGGCTACTAGGTACGACATATATATATATATATATATATATATATATATATATATATATATATATATATATATATATATATATATATACATATATATATATATGTCGTACCTAGTAGCCAGAACGCACTTCTCAGCCTACTGTGCAAGGCCCGATTTGCCTAATAAGCCAAGTTTTCATGAATTAATGTTTTTTCGACTACCTAACCTAACTTTTACCGCTACCTAACCTAACCTAACCTATAAAGATAGGTTAGGCTAGGTTAGGTAGGGTTGGTTAGGTTCGGTCATATATCTACTTTAATTTTAATTCCAATAAAAAAATTGACCTCATACATAATGAAATGGGTAGCTTTATCATTTCATAAGAAAAAAATTGGAGAAAATATATTAATTCAGTAAAACTTGGCTTATTAGGCAAATCGGGACTTGCATAGTAGGCTGAGAAGTGCGTTCTGGCTACTAGGTACGATATATATATATATATATATATATATATATATATATATATATATATATATATATATATATATATATATATATATATATATATATATATATATATAAGGCACAACTCTCCTAAACACGAGAGTCAAGTATACAACTTTAGAACACTTTCCCACCAGGAGACTCGAACCCTAGCCAGCACAGAAGCCTTCCAGCAACTGGCATAACAGGTACGCCTTAACCCTCTCTGAGCAGGTCTGAGCAGGTGGTGGAGAGGGTTAAGGCGTACCTGTTATGCCAGTTGCTGGAAGGCTTCTGTGCTGGCTAGGGTTCGAGTCTCCTGGTGGGAAAGTGTTCTAAAGTTGTATATATATATATATATATATATATATATATATATATATATATATATATATATATATATATTGTGACGATAATCTCTTTCAAGAGAGATTGAGCCTGCTCTTCCCTCCAAAGTACGTCACATCAACAGATAATATAGAAGATATATCCAGCAAGTATCTCCAAAACGTTTTGCCCAGAGAGCAAAACGTATCCAGCCCACCGGCGCACCTGCTCGCCTCCGCCACCGTTAACCGGCAAACTGCTTGTCCATCACCTGCCTGTCGCTGATTGGCTGGTGTCCAGTCGCACCTGCCCCACCACCCTCCACCACGAGTTGATGTCTGGGCTGCAGCGACCCAGAGAAGGCAGAATATCCCAGTGCTCCTTGCAGTTGACACGTCTCATTGGTAGACTAAGCCTTGGCTTACGTGTACTAAGGGAGGTGGCTGCTCGAAGCCAATATTCCGGCACTATTATCATTTACTTTGCTATTACTCACTTGTCTTAACGTAACTTTTCATTTGCCAGTGATTATTCTTATTATTTTGTTTGTTGACTTGTCTGTTATATTTTATACTCAATTTTATTCGTGTCTTGTTTTTCTAACGTAATTAAAATTTCATTGTTAAATTTACTTGTGTTTTGTGTGTCTTCCCATTACCTTACCACAGACGAAAGTTTCAGCTTTTCTTTTTTTTTTTCTTTATGTGACGAGGCCCTGCCCCTAGCTTTTGAAACAGCCGAACACCAACGCTTTACCGTCACAATATATATATATATATATATATATATATATATATATATATATATATATATATATATATATATATATATATATATTATTTATATATATATATATATATATATATATGTATATATATAATATATATATATATATATATATATATATATATATATATATATATATATATATCCCACCAGGATCAGCAGGTGGGTTCACATGACTACGACCCAACCTCATCAAACAAATGCTCAACACTGCACTGGGAGACATTGCACAGGGCCTCCTGGTGGAACTAACTAGATTCGCCAACACATGTCTAGCTGGCAACATACCAGAGACCATACGGCCTCTCTTTTTTGGCGCTACCCTCTGTGCTCTGAGGAAAAAAGATGGAGGAATCAGACCGATAGCTGTGGGCAATTCACTCTGGCGTCTCGTCGCTAAGGCTGCTGCTAGAGCCGTTAGTCAGGCAGCAGCCGACATGCTGAAGCCAAAACAGCTTGGGTTTGGCATTCCCCAAGGGTGTGAGGCAGCGGCTCATGCAGCTAGAGCCTACATTGCCAACATTACGGATGAAAAAGCCCTGATAAAGCTGGACTTCAAAAATGCTTTCAATCTGGTTAGAAAGGATGCAGTACTCAGTGCAGTTCATCACCTTTTTCCTTTCCTCTACCCGTTTATAAACTCATGCTACAGCAAGAATCTAACTTTGCTTTTTGGGGAACATGAAATTGAATCACAAGAAGGTGTCCAACAGGGTGACCCCCTTGCTCCTTTTCTTTTCTGTCTAGTTATCAAGGAAGTCACTGATAACCTGTCCAGTGAGCTCAACATTTGGTTTTTGGATGACGGTACACTAGCTGGCTCCCCAGCCTCACTCTTGGACGACATAA